CTGAAGGCAGAGGCTTAACCCACTGAGCCACCCAGGTGCCCCGACAAGTAGAGTTCTTGATTCCACCTCTCACCTCCACCCAAACCTGTTCTTCCTTATTCTCCGGACTTTAGCGGGATGTTAGTTTCTTAGTTCAAAACCCAAGCACTCTTAGTTGATTCCTTGCCATCCCTCATCTTCCTACTGTCTTTCAGATACATCATACTTGGATTTGATTTACATCAAATTCAAAATTGAATTCTCTTATTGAGGTAGAACCTAATCATGGTTTGAAAAATAAGTAAAAACAGGGGCGCTTGGGTGGCTCAGTGGGTTAGGCCTCTGCCTTCGGCTCGGGTCATGATCTCAGGATCCTGGGATTGAGTCCCACATGGGGCTCTCTGCTCGGCGGGGAGCCTGCTTCCTCCTCTCTCTCTCTGCCTGCCACTCTGCTTACTTGTGATCTCTCTCTGTCAAATAAATAAATTAATTAATTTAAAAAAAAAGAAAAATAAGTACAAGGCAGTACTTTATTACAAATTGATAATAAATTACTCTATTCTTCTTATAATTTCTAAGTAGGTATTTAAAAAAATAAATTGACCAGATTAAAAATTGATTACATTTTATTGTTTTTATTTTAATTTAAGCTTTAAAAACAATGGTTCTGTTGTATTTAATTTTTATAAGTTCTTTAAGGGAAAATGCCAACAAACACAAAAATTTAGAGAACAGTTTAATAAACTCCTGGATGAAGAGTAATAAAAAGTAATAAAGAATAAGCTTGTTCACATATTTTCTTTTTTTAAAAAATTTATTTATTTATTTATTTGACAGACAGAAATTACAAGTAGGCAGAGAGGCAGGCAGAGAGGGAGGGGGGAAGCAGGCTCCCCGCTGAGTAGAGAGCCAATGCAGGGCTCGATCCCAGGACCCTGGGATCATGACCTGAGCGGAAGGCAGAGGCTTAACCCACTGAGCCACCCAGGCGCCCCCATATATTCTCAATAGTTACCAGTGTTTTTCCAATCTTATGTCTTTCTCCTCTCTCTTCCTTTATTGTTCTCTAGAGTTTTTTGTTTGTATGTTTTTGTTTTTAAGTAGACTCCATGCCCAGTGTGGAGCCCATTGTGGGGCTTGAATTTACAACCTTGAGATCAAGACCTGAGATGAGACCAAGATTCAGATGCTAAACCAACTGAGCCACTATTCTCCAGAGTATTTTAAAGCAAACCCCATAAATGACATTTCATCAGTATATGCTTGTTTTGCAGATTTTTGTTTTCATTTCAGGAACTAATACTGGTTTTGCCTTTAGTGGTTTCCTCTTAAAATCATTTCTTTAAGTAAAAGAGTTGTTAAAACTATTAAGTCAAAAATAGTGTGAGTGACATGCAGTTATGTAAAAATTGTGAAAACAGTAAGTGAATAAATGATGTCTGAGCATTATTCCAAGGGTACGAACAGTTCCTTGAATTTGCCATGTTCTTTTTCATGTCCCCATCGCTTTTTTCTTTACTCCTTTCTCCATCTAGAATGATCTTTCTCCCTCCTCCATATCTTACTGGAGTTTACACTATTTGTTTTTAACATTTCAAAAAAAAGTATTTTATCTTTACTTAAAATTTTTTTTACCTTTTTCATCATTCATTTTGCATAACTGTATATCTTCTATAAAACCCATCTCAACCTCCCAAAATAGAATCATTTCTTCTTTCCCATTCCTATTTAACACCCGATAGCATTTATATATTTATTTGTTTGTCTCCATCTACTAGTCTGTAAACTTCCTGTTTACAGGAATTTGTATTGTATACAAATTGTGTACAAACACATTTGTATTCTGACCATCAGATAATGCTGGTTGTGTTGTGGCCTAATAGGTGCTTCTTGCTGGAAAGAGAGGATGAATGGTTCTCAGTAGTAGAGTTTTTCTAATAGGAGTTCTGCTTCTCCCACATAGTAAAACTGGCCTTATTGTAAACATCTTCTTTAATGTATTATGAGGAACTCTGCATAATTAAGCATCTTTCACATATTACCGAGTGTTTTTCACTTTAGATTGAACAGGAATGTCCTGTGGCGGGGATTTGTGTCATTCAAGGATGTGACTGTGGACTTCACTTGGGAGGTGTGGCAGCAGCTGGACTCTGTTCAGGGAAACCTGTGCAGGGATGTGCTGCTAGAGAACTATAGCAACCTTGTTTCAGTAGGTAGAACACCTTCTCTCAAAGGGTACTGGGTATTAGTTATCTGCAGCTGCATAACAATTACTTTAAAACTTAGTGGCTTAAAACAAACGATTTTGGGACGCCTAGGTGGCTCAGTCAGTTGGGCCACTGCCTTTGGCCTGGGTCATGATCCCAGGGTCCTGGGATCGAGTCCTGCATTGGGCTCCTTGCTCAGCGGGGAGCCTGCTTCTCTGCCCGCCTCTGCCTACCACTCTGCCTGCTTGTGCCCTCTCTCTCTCTCTCTCTGACAAATAAATAAATAAATAAAATCTAAAAAAAAACAAACCTCATGTTTTTTACTAACAATTTCTATAGGTCAGGAGTTTGGAAGGGCTTAGCTGCCTGGTTCCGGCTTGCGGTCTCCCATGTGGTTGTAATCAGATGTTAGCAGGGGCCGCTGTCACCTGAAGCTTGCTGGGAGTGCAGGATCCATTTCGAAGATAACTCACTCACATGGCTGTTAAGAGGAGCCTTCAGCTCCTTCCTGTCCATAGGCAAGAGATCTCAGTTTCTTACGACATGACAAACTTCCCCAGATAGAGTGATCCAGAAGAGCCAGAAGGAAGTCACAGTGCCTTTTTGTGATCAGGTCTCTGAAATCACATACTGACCTCTACCGTATTATGTTTATTAGAAATAGTTACCGAGTCCAGCCCATGCTTAAGGGAATGAGAGGACTTCTTGAAGGGAAGAGTGCCAAGGAATTTATGAACATATATTAAATCCACCATAGTACCCGATTGATTGCCTTTCCTTTCTTATTTACTAAAAGCTGCTGAGTCTCTGCATGTTTAATGAGCTTTATTTCAAGCTACAAAGGTCAAAAGAATATTGATTTTGAGTACTAAATACTCCAGTGGACTTGGGTGAAAAGAGAATGGGTGCTGCATCCTGCTCATTCTTTTTTTTTTTTTTTTAAGATTTTATTTATTTATTTGACAGAGATCACATGTAAGCAGAGAGGCAGGCAGAGAGAGAGAGGAGGAAGCAGGCTCCCTGAGGAGCAGAAAGCCCGATGTGGGGCTCGATCCCAGGACCCTGGGATCATGACCTGAGCCGAAGGCAGAGGCTTTAACCCACTGAGCCACCCAGGTGCCCCATTCTTCTCATTCTTTGAGGGTTAAAAACAATGGGCTGTGCCCAAGTTCTTAGTTTTCATAGATTAATTGAAATAGAGCATACATAGTAAAGTGCTCAAATCTTAATTATGCAGATTGATGCATCTTTTTCCTATGTTATTTAATCACTGCCCAGATCAAGGTATAAAACATTTCAAGCACCCTAGTAGGCTCCCTTCAATCCCTCCTCAGAGATAAATACTTGTGGCTTCTATCAGTGTAGATTAGTTTTGTCTGTTCTTGAACTTCATGTAAGTGTAACCACTGTAATTGTCTGGCATCTTTCATTTACCATAGTTTCTGTGGAATTCATCCATGTTTTTGCACATCACAATATTTGTTTCTCCTTACTGTTGCATCATATTCCATTTAATGAGGATAGGGTAGTTCATCAACTTACCCATTCTACTGTTGATAGATATTTAGCTTGTTTAAGATTTGGGTCATTGAATAAAGCTGTTATGAGCATTCTTTTTCTTTTTTTTTTTTTTTTTATTTTTTTAATGTTCGTTTTTGTTGTTGTTGTTATAGACATTCTAATATGCATCTTCTAGGGGAAATAAGCATTTTATTTTTATTGGATATTTACATAGGAGTAGAATTTCTGGGTCATGGGCACATGTATGTTTAACTTTAGTAGATACTACCAGATGGTATTCCATAGAGGTTATATCAGTTTATTTCCTACTAGCAATGTATGAGAGTTCCATCAACATCTGGTAATACTAGTCTTTTTAATTTTAGCTATGCTGGTGCATATATGGTGGGCTTGAGTTCTAGGATGGTTGGATGTCCACTAATGCCCATGTCCTGTATCATTTCCCATAAACAGGGTGTCAGTTCCAATATAATCTTATTGAAGCAAGGAGATCCACGGATGAAGGAGGAAGAAATCTCAAGTTGGGCCTATTCAGGTAAGTAAGAAACTAGCATATGGGAAACAAGGACGTAAGATTAATACTGATTAAGAAGACATTTATCTTTGAAATATTTTTTAAGAAATCATTCTTTAAGGCCATAGATGTCTAGAAATGGCTGAAGACAGTTGGTGTGGGATTGTCAGTTACCTAAATAACACTGCTACGTATCTAACACCCATGCAGTCCATTTTCTTTGCTTAACTTTTAGAGAGAGAGGTAACCCCCTTATCCATACTTTGGATCTTATTTATGCACAGGTCATTTAGAACATTTTTTAATTAATTTTTTTTATTTTTTTTATAAACATATAATGTATTTTTAGCCTCAGGGGTACAGGTCTGTGAATCTCCAGGTTTACACACTTCACAGCACTCACCCTAGCACATACCTTCCCCAATGTCCATAACCCCACCCCCCTCTCCCGATCCCCCTCCCCCAGCAACCCTCAGTTTGTTTTGTGAGATTAAGAGTCACTTATGGTTTGTCTCCCTCCCAATCCCATCTTGTTTCATTTATTCTTTTCCTACCCCCCAGACCCCCCACATTGCATCTCCACTTCCTCATATCAGGGAGACCAAGACAAGTTTTTGAGCCAAGTTGAATTCATTAACAATAAGCCACTAACTGAGGAGGTAGACCATGAATGTAACAATGTACTGGGGAAAGGAATCATCTGAACAGAACATCTAGTGAACACATCAGAGCCTTCATGCAGAAGTCACACCTCTTTGTTCAACTGAAAATTCTAACCAGTGAGAAATCATATAAATGTATTCAGTGTGGGAAAGCCTTCAGTGGAAAATCAGGACTCACTGTACATCAGAGGATTCATACTGGGCATAAACCATACAAATGTAATGAATGTGAAAAAGCCTTTATTCAGAAGTCACAACTCACTGTACATCAGAGAACTCATACAGGAGAGAAACCCTATGAATGTAGTCAATGTGGGAAAGCATTCATCCAGAGGTCAAACCTCATTATTAATCAGAGGATTCACACAGGGGGAAAAAATCCCCTATGAATGCAATGAATGTGGGAAAGTTTTCATCAAGAAGTCAACACTTAGTGTTCATCAAAGAATTCATACTGGGGAGAAACCATATGAATGCAGACTATGGAAAAGCTTTCATCTGGTGGTCACAGCTCATTGTACATCAGAGAGTTCATACTGAGGAGAAACCCTATGTATGTAATGAGTGTGGAAAAGCCTTCAACAGGAAGTCAGAACTAACTGTACATCACAGAATTCACACTGGAGAGAAACCATTTGAGTGTAGTGAATGTAAAAAAGCCTCCATTCAAAAGTCATCTCATTGTGCATCAGAGAACTCACCCTGGGGACAAAGGGTATCAATGCTGTGATTGTGGGAAGGCCTTTATCCGGAGCTCACAGTTTATTGAACTTCAGAGAATTCCTACTGGGGAGAAACCCTATGAATGTAGTGAATGCAGAAAAGCTTTTACCCAGAAATCACAACTCATTGTGCATCAAAGAATCCATACTGGAATGAAGCTATATGAATGCATTGAGTGTGGAAAAGCCTTTAGTAAGAAGTCACACCTCACTGCACCTCATAGAATACACACTGGAGAAAGACCCTATGAATGTAATAATTGTAGGAAAGCTTTCAGCAAGAAGTCTACTCTCATTATTCCTCAGAGAATTCATATGGAACAGAAACCCTTTTAATGGAATGAGAAAATTTTAATTCAATGATTAAAATTTCATCACACATCATAGAATTCATGAAGTCTAAAAACTCTATGAATATACTAAACATAGAAAGCCTTCAACAATAGCTTCCCAACTATCAATCACCAGAAAATTCATACTGAGAAGCAACTTTGAAAAATCATGTTTCCAAAAAATTACATTAGACATCATGGTTCAGGCCTAATAGCAAAAGTTTTTTTAGGGTATGGTAGAAAAATCTCAACCACATGTGCTTGGCTTGATCACTGTGTGGTACGAATTTTTTAAATGGATGAGTACAGTTGATGCTTGAACAACATGGATTAGGGTTCCCTTGTGCAGTTGAAAATTCATGTATAACTTTTAATGTTCCAAAAACTTAACTACTAATAATCTATTATTGACTGGAAGCTTTACTGGTAGCATAAACATTCTATCAAACACATATTTTTATGTTATATGTATTGCATATTGTGTTCTTCCAATTAAATGAGCTAGAGAAAAGGTTATTAAGAAAGTCATAAGGAAGAAAAAAATACATTTAGATTACTGTACTGTATTAATAAAAAAAAAAAAACCATGGACCTGCACTGTTGAAATCTGGTTGTTCAAGAGTCAACTGCAAATTGATTAATCAGGCAAACAAAGTGATGACTATATGTGATCATTCTACAAGTTTTGTAGAAATGGCATTCATAACCCAAATTATGTGTCATTTGGAAGTGAATATGGATATTTGCACCTGCCTTACTTCCCATACTGAATGATACCATTTTCCCCACATCTTAAAAAACATAAAAGGACAAAATGTAACTAAATTACAAATAGCTTTTCCTCCACTCTTTCTTGATGTGTATAGAATTAATGGAAGATGAAGCCAGTGCATTTATAGAGACATCAAAAGTTAGTAGTAGAGGGGCACCTGGGTGGCTCAGTTGGTTAAGTGTCTGACTCGATTTCAGATCAGGTCATGTTCTGAGTCATGGGATCAAGCCCCACATTGGGCTTCATGCTCAGCAGGGAGTCTTCTTTAGATTCTCTCTAGCTCCCTCTGCTCCTCCCCCCATGAGCTCTCTCCTTCTCTCTCAAATAAATCTTTTTAAAAAGGTGCTAGACTTTTAAAAATATCACTTGGTATAAAGCATACAGAGTTAAGAGAGACATCAAACAACGGGCAAAAAAAAAAAAAGTGAAATAAGTCTTGATCAATTGGAGTGTATTCCCGAATGTAGTATTTTCTTTAAATATCTGATTATCCAACCATATAATTAAATTTTTTTTGATAAGGGGAAAAACATCATTTCCATAGATGCAGAAAAAACATTTGACAAAATTCAACATCCATTTGTGATGAAAACTTTCAACAAATGATCAACAGATGGTAACTTCTCTACTTCAACCAGTTTTACAGGTTTTTTCTACATAAGATTAGAAACAAAGCAAAAATATCTGTCCTCATTTTTCAAAAAATATATTTATTCGCAAGAGAGAGCGCGAGCAGGGGTGGGGAGGAGGAGAGAGAGAGGGACAAACAGACTCCATACTGAGTGTGGAGCTCAACTCGGGACTCAAACCCAAGACCCCAACATCATGACTTGAGCTAAACCAAGAGTCAGATGCTTAACTGACTGAGCCACCCAGGCGCCCCCTCATTTTTATTTAACGGTGTAATAGAAGTCCTGGCCAATGTAGTAAGCAAAGAAAAAAAAATAAGAAAGCATACAATTTGGGAAGGATGAAGTAAAACTTTCTTTATTCATAACAACCTGACCTTATATATTTAAAATCCTAAGGAATCTACAAAGTTTAAATAGTTTTTTTTAAGACTTAAGATTTTATTTATTTGAGAGGGAGAGAGAACACAAGCAGAAGAAGGGGCAGAGGGACAAGCAGAGTCCCCACTGAGCATGGAGCCAGACACAGGGCTCCATCCCAGGACCTTGAGATCATGAGCTGAGCTGAAGTCAGATGCTTAACTGACTGAGCCACCCAGGTGTCCCAAAGATTAAATCTCTCTCTCTCTCTCTCTCTCTTTTTTTTTTTTTTTGTTAATATTTTGATGCCAAGTTTTTTGTTTTTTGTTTTTTGTTTTTTTAAGATTTTATTCATTTGACAGAGATCACAAGTAGGCAGACATGCAGAGAGAGAGAGGAAGGGAAGCAGGGTCTCTGCTGAGCAGAGAGTCCAATGCGGGGCTGGATCCCAGGACCCTGGGATCATGTCCTGAGAAGAAGGCAGAGGCTTTAACCCACTGAGCCACCCAGGTGCCCCAAAGATTAAATCTTATAAGTGAATTTTTCAAGTTCTTAAGAAAAAAGACCAAAATACAAAAAAAAATAATTGTATGTGTACATATTAACAAGCAAATACTGAAAAATAAAATTTAATAATCCACTTAACAATACATCATAAACCATAAAAAAGGAATAAATTAACCAAAGCTTGGCACTGAAGATTGCAAAGTATTGCTCACAGAAACTTTAAAACTAAGGAAATGGTGAGGTTGATCATCTTCCATGAACTGAATTATTCAGTGATGTTAATATGTCATTTGTCCCTACACTGATCTATTTTCAACACCAATCAAAAGCCCAACAGGCTTTTTTTTTTTAAATAGAAATTGTGTGGAAACTTGTATGGAAGTGCAAGAGCCAAAATAATCCAGAAAATTAACAATGTTGGAGGACTTAACACTATCTGACTTCAAGTATCATTCTAAGTGAAAAGACAGAGTGATATTGGCCAAGCATAAGACTAGATCAACAGAAGAGAATGTCCAGAAACAGGCACACACACAATTGATTTTTTAAGTAAGCTTTCTGTTTGAAAATAATTTTAGAAAAGTTACAAAGATGGTAGAGAGAGTTTCCATATGCCGGCCACCTGGTTTCTTCTGATGTTCACATTTTAAAGTTACCATTGTACATTTGTGAAAACTAGAAAACTAACATATGTATATTAATATTAATCATATTTCAAGCTTTATTTGAATTCCACTATCCTTTTTCTGTCCTAGAATTCAGTGCAGAGATTTCACATAGAATTTAGTCATCATGTCTCCTTTGTCTCCTCTGGCCTGCAACTATTGATGGCTTAGTTAAATTTCTCCTTGAGACTGCTTCCTTGGCATCCATTTTGTGTGGGTAAGTGGCCTGGAGGGGACTTGAACTGACACTAGCCCCTCCCTCAGGTGCATGCCTCAGATAGCAGAGTCACAGGTAAGTAGTCTTTCTGGTAAACAGTCTCTCCTGGGGCTATGCATCCTTCCCTTACATAAGACCCCTGCAACACTTACCAAAACCTCATTCTTTTTAGCTTGAATTGACCAATCTGACCTTAGCCCAATAATCCCAAAGCACTACACCCTCAAGCCCTAGTAAAGCCATATGCTCCAACGCTTGCTGCTCACTCTCTGCCTGACTTACCCTCCCCTATGTGCCTCCTTGAGTGCGATGTACCTCCTCCAGGATCTGCGAGTAATAAACTTCTTTATTTCACTTTCCCTTGAAGTCTTTGTTGAACTTTGCCTTGACATTTGACACCCCAGGACTGTACTTAAGAAATGTTAGCAAAAATCACAAAACTGACCTTTGTACTCTTTCCTGTTTTTCATGATTTTGTCCTTTTTGAGGAGTACTTTTCAGGCTTTTTGTAAAACGTCCCTCAGTTTAAAAAAAAAAAAAAAAAAAGTGGCCATTTTAGGAGGTGTGTAGTAGTGTTACTTTGTGGTTTTAATTTGCATTTCCCTAAAATCTAATGATGCTGAGCATCTTTATGTGTGCTTATTGGCAATTTGTTTATCTACGTTGGTGAAGTCTCCAAATCTGGTGCTCATTTTAAAAAATCAAATCATTAGATTTTTTATTATGGAGTGATAATAAGTTCTCTCTATCAGATATATTTTGCAAATGCTTTCTTCCTATCTGTGGCTTGTCTTTTCAATTTCTAAGCAGTCTCTTCAGAGGAGGAAAGCTTTTCATTTTGATAAGTCCAGTTTATCAATTTTTCCTTTTATGGTTTGTGCTTTTTGTGTTCAAGAAATCTTTGCCTAAATTAAAGTCATAAAGATTTTTTTTTAAAAGATTTTATTTATTTATTTAACAGACAGAGATCACAGGTAGGCAGAGAGGCAGGCAGAGAGAGAGACGGGAGGAAGCAGGCTCCCCGCTGAGCAGAGAGCCTGAAGTGGGGCTCGATCCCAGGACTCTGGGATCATGACCCGAGCCGAAGGCAGAGGCTTTAACCCACTGAACCACCCAGGCGCCCCAAAGTCATAAAGACTTTTTCCCCTTTGTTTTCTTCTAGAGATTTTTTTAGTTTTAGCTCCTACATTTATGTTTAAGAGCCCTATTTAGTTAATTTTAATATATTTGTGAATTAAAATTGAAGTACATATTTTTGCATAGAGATATGCAATTGATTAACACCATTTTCCAAAAAAAAAGATTATCCTTTTCTATTGAATTACCACTCTGTCAGAAATTAAATATATATACATATTTTTTTTATTCTTTTTTCCTCTGATATTTACATCTATCCTTACCACATTGTACTTTTTCTCTAGTTTTCTGTTGTGTTGAAATAAACTTTATTCTTCTTTTTTCATGATCATTATGCATATTCTAGACCCTTTGCATTTTTACATCATGTTAGAATCAGCTTGTCAATTTCTACAAAGAAACCCGAAGAGATTTGATTTAGATTTAATTAAACATATAAATCTATTTGGAGATAACCCTCTCAGCAATTTGAATTTTCCTTTCCATGGGCATGATATATCCCTCTACTTATTTGGTCTTTAATTTCTCTGTGTAGTGTTTGTAGTATTCAGCCTGCAACCTTACACATATTGTATTGAATTTTCTCTAAGAATTTCACGTTTGAGATATATTAGAAGGAGGAGAAGGAATCAGTAAGTGAATTTAGTAAGGTTATAGAATAGAAGTAATACAGTAATTGTATTTTATATACTAACAATGAGAAGTTTGTG